TTAAAATAATAAGGGAAATATTGATCTATAACTTCCCATGATTGAAGAAAAGCTAGCATTCTCTTCCTAAAGTTTTTTTTTCTTTTTCTTTTAATAATCTAGACAAAGATTCAAACTCAAGACTTCTTTCAATTTTGGAAAGAGAATTACCACTAAATCAAAATTGGACTTTTACTAATGAAAACTCTTTTATGTCCAAAGCTAAACTTTATATATATCCAATGACTCTTCACTGGGCACAACATTTAGCCAAAGGTAGGAGTTAGAATGTCATCATATAATTAAAATTCCCATACTTGGAATTTCAAACTTTTCAAACTTCTTTTTTTTTTCTGCCTAAAAATGACATTTTTTATTTGTGCCAATGATCATCTAGTCCAAGAGAATGGGGTGATGCAAACTCAGAGAATTGTAAGGGACAAACACAGCCACTGTTGGGCAGGGACGAACCCACAGTGGGGTCAATTGGGTCAAACGACCCTATGGACTCTATGAAAATAAGCTTGAAGGTCCCCTTAAGCTGACTGTGTTACCCCATGGATGCCCTCCACTTGCTTGTTGTCTGGCCTGAACGAAATGGCTGCACGAGGAAGAAGAAGAAGCGTTGCGCTTCTCTTTTTGTTTTTTTTTTTTTTTTAAACGCTGGCAAACGACGTCGTTTTGGCCCTGCGAGTTTTTTTTAAATGAACTGGCCAAAACGACGTCGTTTTAGCCCAGAGGAATTTTTTTTTGAAAATGACCTGGCCAAAACAATGTTGTTTTGGTCCAGGTCTTTAAAAAAAAAAAAAAAAAAAAAAAAAACACAACCCCAGCTATTCTAAAACCCCTTCACCCATCCCAGCAACTCCCAAAACCCTAATTCTTTCATCCTGAACTCTACCCTTAACCCTCATCTCCTCCATTGTTGCCGCCGCGTCCACCACCTTATAATTCAAGTAAATTCTAACACTAAGCCTAAATTAATAGAATTGAAATTATTATTTTATTATTTTGTTTTGATTTATTGGATGTTTCATTTATGAATTTTTTGTTGTTAATTGGTATAAATTTGGTGTTTTCTTTAATTGATGTGAGTTATTACTTTGAAACAAAATGGGAGATCAATACTTGAGTGATAATTTGCTTGTTCACGTTGAGAATGATGTTTTTGCTTGTATTAAAAATGAAGCTATAATGCTACGTTTTCAAAATATGAAACATCGTCGTGGACAATTGTAGCTTATAATGTTGTTTTTTTTTTTTATGTGAATTATGAATGAACGTTTCATTTCTAATGTTATTTTGATCGAAAAAAAATTTCAAACTTTTACACTATGACCCTATGAGGTAAGATTTCTGGGTCCATCCCTGCTGCTGGGGACGCAATATCCAGGAGGTACACATCCAGCACAACTTGTTTTAGAAAGGGTTCTGCACAGAGTGTCAAAGCCAGTTCATTTGCTGAACATAACAACACTTTCACAATTAAGAAAAGGTCGTCACCCTTCAGCCTACGGGTATGGAGGTTCGGGCGGCACGGATTGCACCCAATGGTGTCTTCCCGGCGTTCCGGATACTTGGAATCAATTTCTATTTATAGCACTCTTCCAAAGCTAAATTGATAATTTTTCTCTTAATAATGATGTTACCACTTGAAAGCCATATAGTTCAGTTAGGCCAGCAATTAGGAACTCCTTAATGTTGCTTCATAAATGTTTGAATAAAGTAGGGTCAATTGATGTACTTTGTGCCTTTTTCGAATTGTTAGCTGTTTGGATTTCTTTTTGGGCACTTTTCCAAATATGTAAAACTTAATCTAACATAAACATCAACAACACAATAGGAAAAGCGGGTTTTATAAGCTAGTTTGAGTTGAAATTTATCGTAATTTGGAAATTTAGGGCCTATTTGGTATCCTATTCAAAGAAATGAACTCAAAAATCACGATTTATTTTTAAAATATGAGTTTTTAAATACTGATTTTAAGATCTAAAACCTTGTTTGGATTGAACTCCAAACTATTTTTAAGATCTACAAAGTTCGAAATTAAAATTAGAAACCCTATATTCCCAAATTGAAATTAACAAAAGAAAAGGAGAGAGAGAGAGAGAGAGAGAGAGAGTTCCTTTAGACTTTGGACTTAAAATGGGCCTACCAAAATGGTTTTTGTGGCTTTAAACTTAAAATTTGTTTTGATTTTATAAAATTGGATCAAAATAGAATACCAAACGAGCCCTTAAAGTTCCTTTGAACTTTTATAGGACTTTAGTCATGTTAGTAGTTTAGTTTGGATTGGGCTAGACCTTCTGGTCAAACATTAATTAATCAAAAGATGTCTTTGCAGCTCTTGGCTTTGTGAATAATAACATCATTATCACCAAAACATCTTGTCTTTTTTTTTTGGTCGAAATCAAAACATGTTGTCTGACTTTGAGAGATAAAAACACAGATTTCACCAGAAATCAAGGACATATAAAACAAGAAGCACTAAGAGCAACTCCACCCATTTTTCCTTTGCCATGGCAAGAGGGGGGCTAGGGCAGCTACTATTCACATGAATAGTGATTGCCCTTGCAAAAAGCAATGTGTGTTTCCACCCGTTGTCATGGCAAAGGGCAATTACTATTCATTTTTTTGTTTTTTTCACAAATTTTTTTGCCTCAATAATTAATTTGGATAATATTTTATAATAAGATTTTCAGGTTCCTACATGTCACGACTATTCATATCTCATAATCGGATAAAATTTCCGGATAAGAATTACTACTACTAAAATAAAATACATGAATTACAACAACTTTAATACAAAACATGAAAAATACAAATAAATAAAAGGTATGCCAACTAATTTAATGGTTTTGATCATTTAACCAA